TCCACAAAACAGACAGATCACATCAAACTGACAAGTACCTCATCACTTGCCAATGATGTTGATTATAATGATTTGTGCTCAGGTTGTTAGAGACTGTCACTTGAGCTGACAACAGTGATTTTCAACACTGAACTCATGTCAACAGTCACGCCACACGAGAGACTGAGATTTTTTTACAATTATTTGTTTTAGTTCACTTGTTCATCACCAAGCCAGGTACCTCACATGCTGGACAGAGGAAATCACAACGGCTCTGGAGATGTGTGGGTTTGTAACAGTGATGGTTATGTTGGACAAGTCTGTATACTCAGAATGGGTACGCAGATTCAGGTGGGTCCTTAACCTAACTTCAGTACTCTAATTAAAACATGTATTTCTTTGGTATAAAACAAATATTGTAGCTAATTTTTTTGTGGGATTGTTTTTGACTGTGAGGTAAAATTGAAGGGAACAAACTATGAGTTTGAAAACTGTTAGTAAAAGTAGTAAACTTGAAGTTTGCGTTATTTTAACAAGCTACATTATTGTTAATTAGTGACTCAGACACTATTCATAATGTAAGGGCTTTTTTTAGGCGGGCTTTTGAATGAGCCGCCTCACAACTTCAAACATTTTGATAAAATTTAACAATGTTGCAATTCGCAATCCGGTTCAATCAGCTTAATCCTCAATCATTCGGGCCCATTTCAAATTAATTCTTTTCGTAGTCGCATTTTTATATCTTACCAAATTAATATTTTGTAATTCCCTTCGCGCTGAATTTTTATATTACTCATTGCACCAAACGACTCATAATATCAGTTCAAAAGTGTTTAACATAGCTCACCTGTTATTACTGTGTTACATTCTACAGCCATTTGGTTCAATCACTGTGTGCATGTCGAGAATTCTCTGCATCTCTCCTGTGCCTGGGACGAAGTTCAGCGGCTTAGAAGCTCTCCAGTCTGAAAGCGACACAAAATCCGACACTCATTCTATCTCTATGGGAAGCGAAAAGAGCAGCAAAGCGAACACAACGCCAAAAATTTCTCGTGCCGGTTATGCGAGCGACGAAGATGTCACAGGACCTCAGAGCATCATGGCTTTTGACAGCAGTTCCGAAGACGAGGAGGGGCTGGGGCAGGAGAGTTTTCTTGGCGGGAAATTCAACGACGCAAGCTCTCCGTTTGACGTCGACGGCCGACTCAGTCCCGAAGGCAGCAGTCTAGGAACTACCGGAAGTGCGGACGGGTTGGACAGCAGTCAGGATGAAAATGTGTTTGAGTTTGAGGAAAATTACTCGAGTGGTGACGAAATAAAGGAGAAAGGATCCCGAAAACAATCGAAGCGAAGAATGGGTTCATCTCGTACCAGCGAAGATCTCAAAGACAGCTTGTCTGATATTGTGAATTTTGACACCGATGAACCATGTACAGTTTGGCTTGGTACAGAAGATGGATGGTTAGTCTCCAGACCTTTTTCATAGCCTTCTCTGTCTGAAATTTATAGCTCATTTTATTTACTAGATTAAAATAAGGAAAAAAAGATGTTGTCACGGAATTTCACTGCTTGGAATGTCACTTAGGGCATTTTCATATCGTTTCTATCATACTTCTGATGATGAGAGGTTTTGAGAAACATTTTAGAATAAAGAGTAGCGATATAAAAACATGACGTTTCGGCGACGACATGTCACCATTATCAAATGCAAATTATAACAAGATAGTGAACGTTATATATACAATAGTAAGTGACAAATTACATTAGAATAAACGAGGCGGGAATAAACAAAAGAATGGGAAAATATTTTAAATAAACAGTTTCGCTGGAATGGAGTCATTTTGAGTGTTCAGAGTCGGTCTCTTTTTCCTTATCAAAAGCATCTCGTAAATAAGGCACTCAAATTTTCCGTGGCATTTCTTTAAGATGGTAAAAAGGAGACGGACAGGATGAGGCAGTCACAAAAACAACGGATCGACAGGCAGACAAAGGATAAACAGAAACACTTTCACAAGCACACATCATCATCATCATCAACAGCGACACCCAAACAACAACTGAGACTTATGAGAAATACAAATTATCATCTAGGTGTTAACCGATTGATTCTTTCTTATGTTCTTTCTCCCAGTGTTTTCGTGTATCCGGCGAAGGAAGCTCATAATAAGAAGTCGAAATTAAAGCTACAGCATTCCGGATCAATTCAGTGCATTTTGTGAGTACTTTGACTTTTTTTCGTACCATCGAAAATTCATACTGAGTTAGTCTTGATATCAAGTTGGGTGCATACTGTATCAAAATGATTTGGAATACAAAAAAACTTGCGTCATTTGTCTTTTAGGTATGTTGATAATCAAGTCTTCATTTCACTGTCAACGGGTGACTTGTACATTTACAGAAGACAACCTGGTAAGATTTTTAGTGGTTGGTAATTCCACTTACAAAGCATGATTTAAACAGGCTGCGGGTTAAAATTGATAACCAGAAATAACTGGAAAACATGAACACTCTGTCAAGCGCCGGAAAAGATGCGGCCGGTTTTATAGGGCGGGAAAATATGAAATCAGAGAAAGGACGCGTTTGTTTGTGATGTCTCTCTCTACACGACCCTTTAGAAAGAGAGACAAATCTAAATACGCGTCTTTTTTTTCTACAGGCTGTGCATGGGAGGTTGGTTCTCCTGTAATGCTTCATATTGGGGAGGCGGTAGGAGTCTCATGTATGACGGCCATCCATGGTCGATTGTGGTGCGGTCTGGGATGTAATGCTGTCATTGTCAACACAACCACTTTGGAAGTCGAGGTAGGACCTAGTTCGCTTTTAAGTACTCAGAATTTTGTACTCAGGTCAATTTTTTGGGGGCTAAACTGTTTATTTATAGACTCACTAAAGCCGTGCGCCTGTGTATAGAGATGATTGCAAGTGGTCAGTGTTTCCTTGAGCCAATCATGCGTACTGTCTCGTTAAACGGTTCCAGGGATCCTTGCTTGTTGAGGTCTGACCTTCCCGAAGATTGTTTAGATAAGTTTTTAACAAGACTGCTGTAAAGAGCTTAATACTCTACATAATATTTTGTGTGAGACTCGGGAATTTTTGTTACTCTTCATAACCCTCAGACGAGTAAAAATCGCGAAACTCGTTTTCTTTGGACCTTTTTGCAGACTTCTTTCAACTGTAGCCTGGATAAGGACCGCAGTGTGTACCGGATGGCAAGCTCTGGTATGGGTGTGTGGATTTCACTCCAAAGCTCCGCTGCCGTCAGGTTGTTCCACGCCACACGCTACGAGTGTTTAGCTGATGTTGATGTGGCTCCACCCGTGCACAAAATGCTTCAAGGTAAATTGTGTTTGAGTTAAGGACAATTTTCAATTGGGTGTCGAAAGTAATCTGAGATTTCTTCGGTTCTCCTTTAACTCGCTTCATGTTGTTTGGTAAAGCCTCTAAAACGATCAGCGGTGAAAACTTTTCTGTATTTCTACACGCTAGGTTCCGATGCAATCATCCGTCAGCACAAAGCAGCTTGTTTGCGTGTTACCGCACTCCTTGCTTGCAAGGACCTTTTGTGGATTGGCACTAGTGCAGGCGTAGTTTTAACATTACCGCTGCCAACAATAACCGCTAGCACGGCTTCTCTTCGTAACTGCCCATCGGCGACAGCCTCCTTCCATGGACATACGGGACATGTGCGTTTTCTCACTGCTGTTGAGGCTCCAAAGGAAGGAGGACAAGACAACACCAATGATAAAAGTTCCAACAATACCATAGGCACTTCTCCATCGAAAACAAATGGTGCGCTTCCACCTGGCACTTCCGCTGGTCGAGAAGTGTTGATAATAAGCGGCGGTGACGGTTATGAGGACTTCAGGACAAGCTCCGCTAGTGAATCCGCTGGACGAGATGACAGCACGAACCATCTCCTTATTTGGCGTGTGTAATCAGTTCGGATGGAAGTCGTGATACCTAGCCCTTTCGTTCGACAGGATGTAGTGATGTATCGCTGGCTAATTAGACTTGACTTAATTAGTCAACAAGAATGGAGGATTATTGCTTCCTTTCAGGAATTATTAAAACCCAAAGAGGCGCTTTCTCAAAGCCAAATTTTTGCCACACGCGTCCAAAATTTGAACGTTATCTTCTCAAAAGAGAATTCAGAGAATATCAAAAAGTTTTTCAATAGATGACTTAAAAGTAATTTAAATTTTATTTTAGATGGTTGTAATCATCGAGTTTTAATTTTTCTGCCAATTTTTCATGAGATTTGTTTTCGGTAAATTATAGACGCATTAGATTTCTTGCGTGTTGATGAATCTTGCGTATTTGTCGAAAGTAGCTGAACATGGACAGAAGAGTGTTACTCAGGTAGTTCGAAACCGGGACTTCTTAAAATAATTCAAAGGACACCGGATCACAGCGACAGAAGTATTTTTATAAGGACACCGTATCACAGCGACAGAAGTATTTTTATAAGGCAGTTAATATTCTGTCAACTTGTACATAGCTTATCGTAAAATTTTGTGCAACTAAAGTGAACTTTTCCTGGTAACTGACGAGAAGAGGTCGTAGTAATGTTATTGGAGGCTGATTTTGTATATTTGTGCCAATTTTTCCCGTGGGGACAATTATGTAAAAGTATTTAGATGCAGCTGTGAATAAAAATTTTGATCAAGAGGAAGCTGAGCGTAGATGTCCTCTGCCAATTTGAAAGTGTCACGATTTCCTAAACAGACTTACGTCTAAGACTATGCGTTTGTGGAGAATCATAGAAAATACTAACACCCGACCCCCCCGCACCCTAGCTATTTTCGGAGCAAACAGCAACCGCTTTGCCATGGGAAGACTGGGTACGAGACTAGTATACACCCTCCGTGGATTACCTCTCCTGAACATTGAGTTTAGGAACTGATTGGGTGAGAAGCGCAAGTTTTCTTAACCAATAAGACAGCGCAGTTCGGCAAAAATCAAATTACCTTCGATACTTGTAAGAGAGGCAAAGACAAATAAATCAACGAACCATAAACCGCGATATTTAAAGCTCCTTTAATGAGCAATTTAATATGTGTTGAAGTTTAAGAAAGACGTCCAGCCTATAAACTATTTTCAATCAGCTGAGAAAGGCTACTCCTACACTGCCTGCAGGTGGGTGCAGTTTATTGCGATAAATGGCGTCATCAGTTAACTGTTATAGATTATTAACGGATCAATAAACCCAATCAAAACCCGTCAAGTCAATCTTTCAAGATGAAACCCTTTTCTGAACATGTACGAGACAACGGCAAATCTTCTTTTTCTAAAACAGTCTCCAAAGACGACTTCATGTGAAATATTCAAAGCCCTTCATGCAAAAGAGTTACTTGCTTGAGTGTAACAAAACAACCAACTCGTTAAACCTTCGTTTCTTAGTAATGTTTGACTTAGTCACTTCTACGCACAGAAGTTTGTCTTTAAAAGCCAATCCCACGTGCAAACCTCGTGGCAACAATATAACACCAAAGTGAAGAGAACATTCGACCTTCGTGACCCTTCCTCTATGTTTTAACCTATATACAAATCTACTGGAATTAAATTACCCTCGATGACGATCCTAAAGTTCATATGGCTCTTACGAATATAATTCATTTTAGTCACAATTTCACACTTTTAATTCTCTGTGTAGGATAAGAATTGAGCGGAAGATGAATGAGGGAAGCCTAGGGAGAGATTCGTGACCACCTTTACAGAGAAGAAGATCAAAAAAAATTCTTGTGGAGACAAATAAATATTACGAGACCAAATCTTTCACTGAAAGGCATGTCATTTTGGTTACAGAGAAAACTTTCCAATTAGAATCGTGTGAAATTGTGACTGTTAAGATCGATGCATGAATTGCACCGGAACACATATGGCAAATGAAAGCGAAGACAAAGACAAAAAGCTCTTCATTGTGAAAACAAAAACGATGCTTGAATAGCGGATGAGCTTTTAGTGACAAATAATTAAATCTATACTCTATACATATGGGTTATCTTAATATTTAAAGACTCATCGAACAAGCTTCCTTAGTGGTAAACGCTTCGTTCCTTGGGAACTCTACACATTTGTGTGTTCGTTGAACACGGGTGGGACTCCATCGCGATCGCGGTCCTGTAACGATAGAATCAAACAGTTAGTGATCAACATTGCAATTCCTTTCACTACGTCAAAACGATACCAAACAAACTGCTAAGAGAAGATGTAAATTAATCTCCGAGAGATATCAATTCGTTGCAATACCACTATCGTAGAAAAATATTTAAGGAAAATTCTGAGGACAAACATGAGTGAGAGCTCAACTACTTACATGCATCCTTGAGCCAGCGGAGGCCTGGGAAGCTCGGGACAAGGATCCACGGCTCGATTTTGCTGTGGGAGCCCGGGAACCAGTGGGGCTGGTCTCGCCGCGGTTCATGGATGCCTCGCTGTCCCAGCGTTCCAACTCCTCTCGTACCAGTCTTTCCATCTGATCTCGTTTCAAGTCGCGGTCACTGCGCTCACTACGATCGCTCTGTAGTAAGTAAAAGTAAGTGCGGTGCATCAGTGAAAAAAGTTACAATAGGAAGAAAGTTACTAAAAATTAACTATTCTCAACTAGAAAGACTCTAAAATACGTAACTTCAGTAAGGTATAAAACACAAAACAAGTTACTTTGAGGAAAACTGACTCGATTTCTACTTACATCAGCGATCGAGTCAAGCAGTTTAGCCATGGTTTCCCGTCGTTTGAGCTTGGCTTTCTCCATGGCCTCGAGTTTGACGAGGACTGCGTCAATCTTGGACACGATGCTGCCAATGGAATGTTCCATTCGGTCCACTCGGCGGCTAAGACTGAAACACAAGTAAAAGCAGGTTTGTTACTGACAAATCTTCCGAAACGTACTAGGTTTGGAAAGTTTGACATTTGGGCCGAAGTATTCTTGCTTACTACGCTTGCCACCACAATTGGGAATAATCTCTACGACATGTTGGGCAAAATAGAAAAGATTTCCAACGGCCAACCATGGAAGACTTTTAATGATGCAAATCACAAAACATAAAGCAGATCCTCAAAGGCAATCCTTGTTTTGAAAGGGATGTTTCCCCGGTAGCTCTTTACTCCCCTATATCGTAAACGTTTCCCCTAACACTCGTAGCTTCCAGTACGAAACCTTAGAGGCTCAAAAACTTACACATTGAATTCCTCATAAGACACTCCGCCTCCTCCAGCACTGGGTCGAGCGATAGCTGAGCCTGCGCGCGCACTCAATCCACCAGTGGATCCCTCATCATCGTCGCTGTCATCGCTGCTCACATTGCTGTTTGCACTCTTTGGTCTTCCACTCTTTGTTTCCTTGGCCCGCTCCATTTCCTCGATTTCTTCGTTCAGTTCAGCCTGCCAGCAAGAATAAATTAATACAAAATAACAACCATAAACCCTTTTCGCAGTGGTTGCGTAAACGATATTTCGATTGAGTCGCGAGATCGGAATATCTGAGCAGTAAAATAGGCCAATGAGCCAACGGAAATCCGTAAAATTAAAAAGCGCAGGAAAACGCGTGGGTCTCAGTACCCATGGGTTCTAGTCTTGCATCTGATTGGTGGAAACGCAAACTTTTACAAAATATTGCTTCAAAGTGCGTTAATCCTTCACAATTGAGTTTCTGACCTTCTGTCCTTCCAGATCTTCTTGCATCTTCCTCTGTTCTTCTTCATCCAGGATTCTGTCGCCGTCTAAATCGTACTTGGCAAACACCGCTTCGATTTCTGCATCAGCATGGCCACGGCTAAGAAAAGACGACACAACAAAAATCTATCTAACATTTCTGGTATAAAAGTTGGGTGAATTAGGATGTTACCCCTCATTTCAACCTTTGTAGTGACTTTCGTTCTGTTCTTCGATTCATACTGTCTTAAGTGTAAGCATTGGTGAGATAGCATTTCGAGAGTTGCAAGGCGATATTTTTTCTTTACGTAAAATACACTTCACTAGTTATATTAACCTCGTGACATTTTTGGAGAATCTTTCAAATTTCAATTTACAAATTACGAATTTACAGTCAAAACAAACACGTATTTGACATATTGCGAGAATAGGACATATGGCTGGAGAATTCTAGACCTGTCCTCATAGTAACCCCGTTTAATTGAGAAAGGAATTCTAAAGAGGCGGTGTTTTCTTGAACCGTTTCCAAAGGGAAAGAAATGATTCATTACAAAAGAAATGAAAGCAGTTAAAAAGGAACTTGAAAATATAACTAAAATAAGATAGTCAAGATTCCAATTGCTTCACAACTTCAATCAAAGAGGGCGATCTTAATGACGGTTAGAGCAATAAAAATTTCACGGCATAAATGCGGCATGAATAACCCTAAGCAACTTTGAACATTTTCACAATTCTTAAGCCTGTCGAAATAACGTGTAAAGAAATTAAGTAATTTTACATGTACATGTTGTACAGAACGTAAGAGGTTTGATGTTGACACCTGTAACAGAACCCCGCTTACTAGGATATTGCAAAGTAATTTTAGAATATTCATGAAGAGCTCCCAGCGAGGCTCTACATAAATAACCATCCACAATAAATAAATATCAGTGTCCACTGCAGAAGATACAAATTATCAAGGCGTTATACATCGGTTGTGCTTACGATTTCAAGTTTGCTCTCCACTCTTCGAAATCGAGCTTGTTGTCTTGGTTTACATCGGCAGACTTCAGTGCTTTCTGGATGTCGAGGATCTTCTCGCGTTTGAAGGACAATTTGTCCAACATCTTCTGGTATCCCTGAGATAAAAATAAACAAAAAATTTAGAAAGCTGAAACCACTGCTCGTTTTGTACTCCTCAGCACTCGCAATATCTACCAACCGCGACTCGCGGAAAAACTACACGGCTACAGAAAGTTGTGGCTGTCGAATTGGTCCTGAAGCATAATTTCGGACAAAAACAGGCCACCGGGCAGTCATTGATGGCGGCAACCCGGGGTGAAAAGGAGGCGCAAGTTAAGCGTCCAATAATAAACAAGAAACATTTTACCGTTTACTTAAAAAAAGCCAATAAATGCCGACTTGCTCTACGGTTGCTCGGGAACGCTGCACGCTTGACCGCTCTGTCAAAAGTATGACATGCATAAAAAATGACATTACTTACAGAAAGTTACACTTCTAAACACCTGTGCCTCTTTATTGCCGTTAATGTTTTACCATTTGCAGGGGATAGCGTAATGAAAATATTCTTACCGAGGCCATTCAGTTTCGTGTTGAGCCAACCCAAGATTACATAAAAAGACGCGAAATTCATAATTCTCTCTTTTTTGGTTACAGTCACGGAATAGAAAAAAAAAAACCTTGTTTTATAACTCGCCATAGAAGTTATTGTGCGTCGGAAAAATCTCACACGGCGCCAAACAAAAAGAAGCAAAATACACAATAAATGAACGAAATAAATAATCTTTTAGGAAGCAGTGCATTCAACGAGAAAGCCAGACAGCTTTATTTATTATTAACAAAATGTCTATAACCCTTGGTTGAAATCGATAAACTGTAGACGAGTGGATCTGCTTGTCAAAGAAAAGGGAAAAAACGAAGGAAAAAGAAAAAACAGAACCAAAAAAAAAAAGAAAAAAAAAAAGAAAAAAAAGGGAAACAAAAGATGCTTGATACGTCCTTAGATGTTCTCATAGTTTTTTTTTTTTAAATCACAAACGGAAATTTAACCTACGCCAGAACCACATTTACTTATGATTACGTAACCATTCTTCAATCGTTCAATCGCGCATTAGTTTTTATGAAATAACCGCTATTTTTCCAGTTTGTATCGTGTGCATAACCGGATAAAATTACAACCAAGTCAAAATATCAGAAAAAGCAAGGAATGGCAATATTAGGAATGTTGTACAGAATACTTCTAATTGATTCTTCAAAATGATTTGCGATTTGCAAAATTTAAAGTACTTCACCGACTATTTTCTCTCTTTAACTTTTCTTACGAGGAAAGAGGACAGGAAGAAAAAAATTACTCTTCGAATTCAGTTCACTCACCTTAAAGCAAAATGCAGAAAACGAAATCTTACGGACCATAATCGTAGAGTACCCACGAGTTCAACTTTGAAGTATTAATTTGACGACAAGAGAAAATAGACCCATTTAAAGCATCCAATTATGTGCATTTAGAGTAAGTATAGTCACCTTAGCGCAATCTCTTAATCTCTTCCGGAGAATTTTGCTTTTCATCCCTATATTGAAACGCCTCCAAGTGTTCCTTTCTCTTATCATTTGCAAGAGATGTAGTATTACATAATCAAACGGACTAACGTTAAATACGCTGATTTGCTTTTTTTTTTTTTCCGCGGGTTCCCTGCGCCGCCAAAACGATAGTGCAATACGAGAAACTCAAAATATTTGGTTCATTCTCGGCCTAACAACCTGCTATTAGCACGAGTGACTTAGAGCAGAGGAAACAAACAGTCAAAATAATGACATTAAACAAAGAAAAAACTTCACAGGTTCTTATACCGTGGTAAACCCCAAAACAGGAACAGGGGAATACAGGGGAATACAGACAAATACAACAAAATCCCCGGGAAGCAAGTATCTAAGGATGGGGTAGTTTAAAACTTGAAAAATTTAAGCTGCATCACTCACGATGCGAAGGAGGTGAGTAAACTTTTAGGTGTCAAATGATGATAAATAATTATCGGCTACCACAAAAAAACAAAAAAACAAAAAAAAAAGGAATTGTGCACCATTTACCTTCTTGAAGTAGTCACCGATCTCGAACTCGCTCTTCTGGTTGGCGATGTTTGACTTGACTTCAGCGTAAGTATCATTGATGATGGCCAAGAACATGTTCAGCAGGACGAAGAACACGAAGAACACGTAGGTGATGAAGAAAATCGGTCCAAGTACGCGGTTGGCTGCCTCGAGGGCGTGGAAGTCAAAGTCACCAAGGATAATACGGAACAGCGTAAAACTAAAATAAAAATTCAGAAAAAGCCTTGCGTTGATTCAAAACCCTCTCAAAACACAAATTCTTAGAGAAAAAAAAGTTGGTAATTCGCTTGTGTGACGTTAAAAAGTGCATCAGATCATAGAAAGTATTAGTGCGCGTAGGAGATTGCATCTATAGTTGCCTATCACTAACTACGCTTTTCCCAGTTTCAGTGGCACGATTGCGACTCCCCATGGAAGGGATGCTCATCCGTCACATCACCCTTTTGGGTGGAGAGGGGAACTGTAAGCGTTAAATGTCATGCTCAAGAACACAACATAATTTACTGCCCTGTGCTCAAGCCCAGACCTCTTGATCCAGAGCCCTGCACACCAACCACAAGGCAATTGTGGCTTCCGCGTCGAGCTTTATGGTAAGGAAATGTTTCTCGCACGCCCGCCCAGCGGAAAATTTGGCAAAGAAAATCATATCTTACATGGCGTCCTCGAAGGTGCTGAAGTCCCGAACTTGAGTACCAAAGACCAGGTAACCCAGCTGCGCGTAGGCGAGAAAGATGATGAAGAACATGACAGCAAAGCCACCAACGTCTTTGGCGCACTGATGGAAAGAAGAAATGTTTAGAGTCAAGGTCTACGAGCTAGGTTTCGCTGTGAATGAAGTAGTAAAACTACAAAAGAATATCACCATACATTGTTCAGCGTTGCTGACAACTGAGTCATGGTCTTGTTGAAGCTGATGTACTTGAAGACCTGTCAAAAAGATACAAAAAAAAAATCAAGTTAAGAAAAGGTTTCAGGTATTATTTACAAGAAAATGCTGACCAAAGCGTTAAGCCCAGGAAACTACAATGTCGACAGAAAGGGCGAGAAAATGCGTCGCCGGAGCAATGTGAGGCATAAAATTGCACTTTGCTTTCGGAAGCCATCACGAAAGCACCCACCTTGATCCAGGCGAAAAACACAGCCACGGCGACCATATTGTTGAACTGTGTCTGCCAGAAGCCGAGAGATTCAAAGTTTGCATACTGATTGTTGTTTGCCAAGAGCGTCTCCAACAAGTCGCCCACTTTGATTGCTCGGTAGACGTTGAAGACAACTGCTACGTATCCAAGGAAGATCACAATTACATCCAGCACGTTCCAGAAACTCTTGAAGTACTGCAATTTGTGTTTCGTGATCTCAAGGATTTCTTCTATGGTGTAGTATATGATGAAAAGGATGAAGATTCCCTCGCAGGCCATCACAAAGTAATCGAAATCGGTGACGTAACGAATCAGCTTCACTGTGCGGAAGTTGAATGATGGGATCACACCTCCTGTGGCTGGGAACTCCAATACCAATCTAGGAGGGGAGAAAGGGGAAAAACTTGTTATTGGTGTGGGTGATAAAATAAAATTTCGAGCGCAATGTGGAATAGGTAAACACTAGTATATTTTTCAGAGACTAGCGTGTATCGAGATAACGCCTTCTTTCTAATGGATATTTCTTCGCGTTTCATAACCTGCTTGCTAGATAGTATATTAGCGAATTCGAGTCTAAATCACTCATGGGACTGAAAGGATTAAAAACCTTCAAGGGCAGAAACAACTTACTTAATGATGCAGAACAAATTGATGTTGGCATTGTAAACGGTGAAGTCCATAAACACCGCTCTTGTTCCGCGGTCAAGCCACAGGTTTTGCTGGAAGAAAATTTCAATTTTAGAGCTCATTTCGATTGTATGTTGTGAACTAACACCAAAGTAATTACTACAGCCAATCAGATTAAAAGAAATACCACAAGGAACCAATGAAAACTCAAAGTAGAAACAAGCAATCTACTTGAAGCGCGGGAAAACACACGTGACCAAGTAGCATTTGTTTTTAAATTGCATCTGATTAGCTAAGAGGTGGTGCGTGTTTTCTGGACCAATCACAGAGCTAAAGGAAGCCAACCGAAGCATCGCTACTCTCCCCTTAATGAGCTGCTGATTCACTGCAGCCAAGTTTTTGGCCAAGGTTGTTTATATATAATTCCTCTTTCTTACATATGTCTAACTCAACAATCAGGCACCTCTGACTTCTAGACATGAGCAAACCTCTCCATTTTTGTCAAAACTTCATCTATACTTCCGATACCTTTTCCAGGATTTGAAACTAAGTTACTTTCAAAATTTCCTTGCACTTTCAAGAGTTCGACTGTTTTTAAAAACTGTGTGTGTGACTGCTTACCTTTAAGTCGGCAATCTTCGATTTTGTGGCTGCCCTTTTTGGTTCCAAAAGCATTGTGAACCCACCTCCACTGTACGAGGTAATTCTCCCCCAGTGTGATCGACCGTCTAGTTCTTTCTCTGTCTTGTATTCCCATCTGTGTTAGAGAAGAGGATGTTTGATTCTACCTGTAAGGGCTACCTTTCTCAAAGCTTTACCGCTTCCTTCTTAAAATTGTGATTGTATACTAAATAAATACTATGTTATTGATTGATAAATAACTTAGAATTTAGCTATAGCTCTTTGCCTACCCTTGTCTAAGTGGAAATTAAAATTTGGAATGTTGGTTTTTGGAAAGGAAAATGGGAGAACCCATTAGGAAAGGCATGTTCACGTCCTACATTCACTGTACAAGAAGAGATCACTTACGCAGATCCATTCCCCACACCAAACGGGTCTTGGTCTTCTATCCCAGGGGCGTAGGGTGCATAACAGTCCTTGATAACACTCTTGAAATCATCATGAACACTGAAATCAATAAACACAAGAAAATTGCACAATCTGATGAAGTACACATTTCCAATTCAAAACATTGTTCCCGAATTGAACACACCTTCAAAGGTATAAAACTTATAATGATTGTGGCACAAAAAAAAAACAAAACAAAAAACAAACATGGGCAAATCTCTACAATCTATCTAGGCAATATAAACCCCACTCAAAATATCTATTTATAACTACACCTACTAGGGGGAAATTGTTCTTATAGTCCACAAATATCCTTATTGAAATGCTCCACAGTTTTTTCCAATAGGCCCACAATGTTGTTAATGATTGAATAAGCACTGGCCTGGAACTTCACAATTTTTTTTTTAAGTTCAAAAAGAGAAGTTCAATTACAAAAAAAAAAAAATTCATAGAAAGATTCTTTGGTATCTCAGAAGTCCAGATTTGTAAATGCTATGTTGAAATGTCTTCTATGGTTAAAAAAATATTCTTAAAATGTGATCTTAATTGTTCTGATTTGGGAAATATATGGTACAATCATTAAATATTTTATCATTTACAATTTTATTGCAAAGTGATAATAAATAAAATGCGCTGCACTTACACACAAGAATCGTTCTTCACTCGGAGTTGTCTCAGGCGTGGTCGTCCAAGGATTTTATTCTCAAAGTAAATAAAACCGAGATCTTCTTGTGATACATTTTTGCCATTGTAGTACTGTTCCCAGTACAATCCATCTGCTAGAGGGCCATCTGCATACTACAACAATGGAACAAAGAACAACTTAACCCTGACTAAAACCTAACTTCTCTTAACAACATCACCCAAGGTGGGTTAAGATAACCCAGGGTTAGTGTGAAATCTGATTTCAGATTTGAAAGCTTAAATAAAAAAAAAAGATTCAGTGCCATTCCTTTTGTATACAATTTGACAATTGGAAGTATGCCTTACATGAATTTAAGAACTTATCCGAAAAAGGCTTTTGAACAAAAGGAATAACAAAACTCAATTAAAAATTTAACCCTGGGTTAGTGCTAATTGGACCAGGCCCTGAATCACACATAAAGGTAATGAGAATAAAGGAAATGATGACCAAGTAAAGAAGCTCTTGAAGTTTATACAAATTCTCCTTACCAGCATCTTAGGAAATATATGAAGAAGATTATGCAGAATACGCATACTGATGTTAAGGTGTAAAGAGTTGTAGGCTGGGGTAAGGAATTCATAAGTAATTACCTTTGATATAACACATGGAATCAAATCATGGAAGGTGACTACAATAATCTATAATTTTGAACAAACTGTTGAGACAACTAAGTCAAATACAAATTTATTTTCAATCCAGACTCATGCATCCCACTAATCCTGTAAACTTTCCTCTTTCAATGTTGTTTCAGCATGCCTTTACTTCCAAAGCATATTTTCATGACAGATATAGCAACATTATCTGGTGTTGGGGATTTTAAATTGTGCCCCTTCAACAACACTGCTTAGTAAAACATTTCTCTCTTGAGTTCATAAATTCCATAGTAAATAACACAAGCCATGAGGAAAATAAACAAACTGATATGGAGAGAGTAACCAAAAAAAACATGTGAAGTAGTAGAATTACACATCAGAGTGAGGAGAGATCAGAATTGACGGCATGTAATAAGATTGGGAAAGGAAGGAAAAAGAATTGAAATTATTTACCATCCAGAACTCCTTCATGGTTGTAATGTCCTTGAATGTATTTCTGTTTGACATTGTGGTCTCAACAAACAAATCTGTGTAAAAGATTGTATATAAAACACATTAAATTTTTCACAGACTTGAGTCAGCCAACAACAAAATTATTTGAAATTCAGGAAATCTCTACCACGTACACAAAATGACTCACCTCTCATGACCTTGGTGAAGTAGTACATTGTTGAGCTTGTCATTCCAAAGGTCACTGAAAGACAAGAACACTTTTCTGTAAGTTTTGACCCTTTCCCATTCATATCGAAAATATAAAGGCATACATGCATGTGAAACAAAACAGATTGGACCAAAGGATGAGAAAACGAATAAGGAGTTGATCTTTCTGATCATCAGTAATTAGACTTATTGCAGAAAGAGAGGTTGCAAAGGATGCAGATTCTAGTTTAGGAACTGCTCTCCTTCCATCAGCCTCCCCAGTTTGAAGTAGCAATAAAAGAGGTAAAGGGTCAGTCCCTGTCAGAGTCTGTGATTGCATTAAACCCATGAAGATCAATTCCTCACAAGTTCAGATATAGTAAATTGCCTTTTATCCTTTTAAACAGAGAGTGATAAACATCAGTATCATCCCTGAATCAAACATTAAGGTCATGTTCATAAAGAAAATGAAAGAGAGGTTAAGAAGCTCTTGATTGTAAAGCAAATCCTCCTTGTAAGTACCATGGGACAAATATAAAGGATGGTATGAAAAACTTGTAAACTGATCATGGGGTGTTGAGGGTGAAAGCCTTTCCAACATCTGACTTGATATCCTGTTGAGAATTTGTTTTCCAACTTGAGTTGACAATTTAACTTTGTGATCAGATCAATACATGATTCTCCCTTCCAGCTCTTTTACATTTCCTAGTAAATTATTTGATAGAATTTCAATTCATGTTAAGAAAACACACTCTAACTGATCTGTTTGTCAGTTCTCCTTGCCAACAGTTATATGATGTATTGACAATGCAAGAAGAACATGCATGCTAATTAATCACTTCAGAGAGTCAGTGAGTTAACATGCAAGCACTGGTCAACAGATTTCACCAAAAAGCAAAAGGTTATGCTCAAAAAGTCAGTGATAAAACAAAATTTCTCAGATGATCAATATTTGTGAAAGGAAACTTGACCAGCCATCATAATAAAAATTACAAGCCACACAATTTTATTTTTCAACTCACAGATGCAGAGGATGGTGATGAAGACTAAATAGATGACCAGTTCTCGCAAGGTGGTTTTCACATGTGCCTCTGAGCCAGAATCAGTATCCTCAGTCTGTCTGGTTCTCCACAAACCTAAAAGACAACAAAAGAAGGGCTAAAATTAACATCAAAATTCTACTGACAAGTTGGCCATGCACAGCTGTCTGACCACATCCACATCTAGCATGTTAAAAAAATATCGACTTTCTGTTTTCTGCCAGAACCATTGCTGAGCTTTGCAGGATGCATTTGGCTTTAAAACCAGTTATTTAGATATATATAGATAGTATTAAGATAATTTTTTTTTTGATCATTCCTTGATGCAAAAAGCCCAAAATTATTAAAAAACCTGTTCTGTGTCATTTCAAACAAATGCAAATTTCTGTCATATCTGTCTTTAAGTGGTAATGATCAAGAAAGGACTCCTTGAAAAGCAAATATTTCAAACAAAAAAACAGCAAATATTGAGGAAATGTTGCTCTCTGAATTAAATGAAACAATTTTGTGTAACTGTTAGAATATGAGAAGACAACCTGCTGTAGCTGTTTAACCATTCCAAACTAGTTCTTATGTCAAGACAGCTGCTGTATTTTTACATATTGGCAAAATCGGGAAAAAATACAAAAATAAACATTTTTAATTAACTTGACAAAAAAGCTCTGACTATTTTCATATCAATAACCTTCCCGATAACTTTGAATGAATTCTTTTACATCTCCAAGCCTTGTTATGTATTTCAATTCCCTTTAAAATTTCCCACATAATACAAAAATGGTAACTACAATAGATTATTATCATTTGTTATTTTCATTACAAACAAAAACTAGAGTTCCCGTATTGATTCATACAAACTGCTGATTCAAAAACAAACAAAGCAAAGTCCTATTTTAGAGCAATATTTGGGAATATTTCCTCTGGCAGTTTTCCCTCTGACCTACAAGGTTAGGTATAATGTGGCGATCGTACTTGGAATTCATAATAAACAGATCTGCGAAGTAAACATCACGGGCTCAATGTTCAAGGCAGTCTGTGTTCTAAGTAATGTTTATCTTAGACTACCGTTTAAATGCAGAAAACCCGAATTTTAACCTCTTCGCGGAAAATTCCAGACTTTCGTGGAACAAAGTTTAATTAGATTGCAATTAATTCTTTTAAGCAACGGAAAATGAGAGCTTTTTGTTGAGCTCATCAACGGTTACCACTGAAAATCGAACACTGATCTCTGTTAGGTAAAATCAATCCGCGCGAGAGCACGATGTCCAAAACACAATCAGTTTCAAACGGATAAAACGGGATCTTAATTCAAAGCCACAAAATTTGACCAAACGAGTGCGATTTTACGGCAAATCAAGTACCATAAATAATTAATTGCAGAGAAAATTGCCGCTGAAATATGAAAACCTATCAGCGAGGTATCTGACACAACAGGATCTAGATTCTGATCGCAAACTGCGAAAAATGTTTCGGGCCTTTGAAATATTCCAATTCGTCTAAATTACGATAAAAGTTTGTACAGATTATAATGGAAACCTCAGTCGCCATAAATAAACGTGGATATAACTTACAGAAACGTGTCTCTCTATACTTTTACAAAACGAAGATTTTAATTTAAATTGGCATGAATATCATTTGCAGTCTAAACACCTGTCCCCAATCTTCATTAAAATTTTACGTTCTGGCGAACCGAATATGCTACGAAACGAGTTAGACCCTTTCAGGGCTTTTCTAAAATGAGAGGGACTAATCGAAGAAACAACCAAAATCTAATAAACAGCAAAAAAAAAACCGAGACAACAACTTCTCAAGAGATTGTGTGCTGCAACGAATGTCGATTGGTCGCAAGCCGCGCAACCTAATTCCAACTCGAATTTTCTGCAATTTTTTAACTACAGTTCTCATCTTCCACTTGTCTTCCCCTGGGAAAAATCCTTTTAATATCGAAACAAGACTGAAGTACAACATACTTGACAAATGTCCCCAAGAGAAAAGAAAAATACTAGATGAAATCAACCATGGAAAATTACCAAATTACGTGACATTAAAAGTGCAGAGCTCGTAGCGGGCAGATCGATCAAATCTTAAAACCATACAAGTTTCGGAGAAAGATATGATCACTTTGGCGAAAGAACATCACGTTTCATGCTTTACAAAACATTCCTTACCTCGGACAATCCTTTTAAACCTTGTCCAACAACCGACAGGGACGTTTTTCGTACCAGGAGCCCGTACATCCGTTGGGACACGACCTTGATGGTTTACAGGTTCGTGCTCCATAGCTGAAGGAAGATCGACGGCTGCGGAGGCCGGAGCGCGAGGGGAGAAATCAATCTCATCGTGTCCTCCGCTCAGTAGATCGTCAGACCATGCGTTTCGAGAATGAGAAGATGGCGGCCTGTTGTTCTTCTCGTGCATTTCCAGTTCATCTCCAAGACTAGCTTGCGATCCTATTCCGCTACGATTCCGGCGCTTTGCAGAGCCTCCACTCATGTTTAAGTTCGTTTATCTTTTAATATCAAAAGGATAGGGAAATCTGTTGAAATAACGCTGTGATACAGCGCGAATTCAACTAACGAGCGCTTCCTCTCGCGAATTAACGCCAAATGCAGATCTAGCAACTTTCCAACCGTTCGCCGATAAGGGCGATAAATATTTCATGTTCTACGCAAGTGAAGGAAAGTATGTCAATCAAGCGTGCTAATTAGGTTTCTATAGTTACGGCTCAGGAGAAAATTTTCGCAAAATTTACTCAAATTGCGCAGTTTGTAGAATTATGTAATAAAAACTTCCTTGCTTTACAAATTGGCTCGTTCAATTTTCAAATCGGAAGCACTATTTTAAATTTTTTTTCCGATGACTGAGATAATAGTTAAATTTTGCACGGTTTTCAATCGAGTGGCCGAAAATACGGAAAGACCACACAAAGGCCGACAAAAAACAACAAGATGAAATAAGAAACCACACGAAGAAATCATAACAGATAAGGAAACCCTTTAAATGTTCACGTATATAAGACCAAAAATGGTGACCTTACCGAATCTTTAAAAGGCAAACCCAAGTGATGAAGATGTAAAAAAGGAACGATTTTCGTTACCGAATTCACCTGTGTCGCAGCTCAAGTAAGGCAAATATTCCTGTGTTTTAAAGCAAATAATGAATATTTTATGAAGGCAGCGGAATGGGAGCAACCGATTGGTTGTTTATGCTGACAACTTTGGACAACAAGGACTTCTCACACCATTGCGAAATAAGACGACTTTTTAAACAAAAGTATTATTTTTTGAATAAACCAGTGCGATCAAAATATGATGTTATCTGAGAAACTGGAACGTTCTAAAACTTTTTTAAAGCCCTGAAACAATGAGATTTTACTCATAACAAGCCGTATTTTCTTCGAACAAGAATATCGTTAAGGCTACCCTTATTACCAGAGTAATAATAGTAACAATGAAAATAATTTTTCCTTTCCGGTATCTAGTTTTAGCGAAAAACAGGACAATATTACAAAGTGAAATTGTCAGATACAAAAGCTTGGTTTGACAGACGCCATGACTATGGATAATTCTGTTTTAATTTTTGTCTTTCTTTTTGTTTCATAAAATTCCTTTTTTTGCTCCTATGTAAGCATGATCGAAGGATTATAAAAAAACAAGTTCAATGGAAGTTATTAGCGAGCGAGTTTCCCACAGATTTAACCGCAAACACGAAACTTGGAAGAAACATGAGCTATTATGATAACTACGCACACACTCTTGATTCCATCCTTGCGAAAGCTTATTAGAAGGAGGAGATCCTATTTCATTGTCTTAGTTACTCGACAAAGCATTGACGTATTTAGGGAAATTTCAGCTGAATAAGAAATTAGATTCGTTCGTCACTAAAACGTTGAATTGACACTCCCCTTCTGCCAAACTATCTCCGAAAAAAAAAAAAAGCATTGCTGAAGGGTGGTTTCCTTTTATCGCTTATGTCTGGCAGCATTTCACAATTTTATCACTTCTTTTTAATCTTTTAGGTACGACCCTGGGATTCCTGGGAGTTTCAGTGAAATATTACGAGCGGGCGGTAAGAACCCATTCTTCTTGAGAACAAGAAAATCCCCAGTTCGCATGGAAATAATAAATAAACCAGGCTGGCAGAAATTAAGAATTATAAAAATGTGAACAACATGCAATCAATAAACTCTTCAGATAAGCTTCAAGTGAAACAGGCAAAAAGGAAATCGCTTTAAAATTTCGAATTCTGAGGAAAACACACCATAACTTCGTCCATTTACAACGGAATTGTGGGCGATAATTCATTCCTGCGGTCGATAAATTGATCCGACGAACTTTTCGCTGTGGGTGAAAAATGATGGCATAGTGAGCCCTCATTATGCTGGAAGGCGGAATACCTCCCCTCCAGATGGTGTCAAGACTGAACTCAAGTACAGAGAACTGAATACGATTCAAGACTCTCATAAGCTGGAAATAACAACACAACGAATAACTTTGTAGTTTACGCCCGTCCTCTACTTTAGCAATACGGTTCAACAGCTCTTTATTACTTAAACACTTTGAAACGTATACAGGTGTGATTGGTAATTTTAATTTCGACAACTTTGAGCCACGCCACAGCCTTTCTAAAATTTAAAATAATCTATAGCAAGTCCTTCAACTACGTTTGTAATTTCCAATCCATCTTTTAAAATAAAGAAAACCGCACATATTGTTCGGTGAGGCGCGGAAAAACTCTAAACAATATAGCGGGTCCGACCGATTACGACATCATACACATATAAATAGAAAAAAAAAATAGCCTTTGAATCAGCAATCACCTCTCATACAAATTGTTTAGGAAAACTAAAACGCAAACAAACCAGAAGAGTGTAGGTGTCTTTACAACCTCAACAACACAAGTAACATAAAATTTGGAATGGTTTCAAATTCAAGTTCATATGAGGTCATGTTGTTTCGGGAACAAGATTTTCCTTTAATGTTCTTAACGGCAGCCCAACTCAGCAATTTTCTTTGACATACCACCTGCTAACCAGAGCTAGAATATCAATTGACGCACTGTTTAGCTTAGCTTTTAATTAAGGCGAAGAGAAAATTTTTGACAGTAATTTTCAGCTTTAAATATTTCAGCGCAGTCATGCTGGTCGTTGAAATGAAATGCGTACTTGCGTCGCGATTATATCTGTCAAATCAAGCGCTTCGTTCAAACTCACGTCCAAGATTAAATTTAAATCTTTCTGCTATATGGGCTTGTACAGGGAAGTAACATCTTGAGTCTGGCCACAATTTTCACTTCAGAAAGAAATTAACAGCTTGACAGGAACATCAGACGTAAACTGGACGTGTTTCTCGCCTCCAGAAATATGAATAAATTAAAAGGATTAGATTCAAATGCGTATGAAAAAATAGCACGTAGATTGTAGGTAAATCCTTATATCCTTTCCATAATGTAATGAACACTTTCCAGAAAACGTTTTCGTGATAAAATGTGAGTTTTATATTTAGGACGGGAAATGTTTAGGGAGACTTAAGTTTGGTTTGAAGCTCTCTACCTAAAAAACTAAAAGGTTTTTCTAAATGGGTCGCATTTTGCATTCAAATCCACCACTTTGATATCATATGACACATGACAACGATCATTTTAACTGAAAACATAGAAATGTGCCTAACTTCATGTTTTAAATTTAGGAGTGTGTTAGATTAAAAAAACGACATGTGCTTGAGTTTCAAATGAATGAAAGCTTCAAAATTAAACATTTGTTGATCTAAAAATATTGAGATGAGACTATTTGCATACGTCACTGAAAATTCAGGTTGGAAAAAAAAGTACAAAAAATAGTCATACAAAATATGTGAACATCCACACCATAAAAAAAATTCTTGTAGATGTTATTTTTTGAGGACAAAATTTGTTCTTATCATCCAGTGGCTTTCCAGTCTAGCTAAACCTGTTTCAATTAATATATGTCAAGGTTTGCATACAGATTAATCAAACTCATGTGTTTATTTTTTTGCCAAACTTAATGATGACATAGACATTTACACATTGCAGATCCTTATAGCTTCATAAATACCGTTTGATAGACTGAATTTAAGAAAATGGAATCCTGTAATGCCTCCCTAGTACCAAGCTTCTTTGCCTACTCTGGCCACAAAATATAGGCCAATGGATGAACAGACCTGACAGAAAGGTGACTGCAGAAATTTAGTGTCTCTACTGGTAGAAAATTTAAGAGATTTGGTGAGGTTAAAACTAAAGGCATCACCAGGCTCCAACCTGCAATTGCTTTGGTCACCATGACAAGTAGAAAAAAACTTCTGGTCATTTAAAATTTACAACTTATGTTTCTTCGGGGATTATGTTGGAAGCTGCGGTATTTTGTTTAATTAAAGTTTATAGTCTTAAGGAAAAAGAATATAAACATTTCCATAAAATAACATATACTTTTGAGCAAACTGGGCTATTAAATTTTAATTTTTTTTAATTTTTCCTTTTTGGCCTAGTAAAATTATATTTCTAGCCATGGTTTTATGATCTTTGGTTACTGCTACTTGGAAAACTTGTATGCTGTCCTTTAGCAACCTAAACCAACAACACACCATCCAAATGTCCTTCCAGGTTCAAGTCTGAGCCACAAACCAAAGATATGAGATGTAGTTAGATATTTGTCACTGAGATGACCAAAAGTTAAGTTGATGAGTAAACGATTTTTAGGGAAAAATTAAAAGCTTTGTAAGCTAATGATAATGTGGCTCTCAGCTGTCTATGCCCACAGCCAAAATATTTTTTGGACATGATTTTACAACACAGTAAGCACAAAATGAATTGGACAACAACCAAAATATTTCATTAAACAGATGTGACAGTTCAAAACTTGGTCACAAATAGTTGTCCTTAATGTTTTGAGATATCAAAACACAATCAAATTGTTGTTAGCAACATTAGAACTCCCACTTACCTGCATTTCTTGGCCAATGAATAGTAAAAAACTAAATTCGAATTCTGTATTCACTAGGGTTTGATTTTTTTGCCGATACCTCAGATGCCGATCCACAGGTATTGAGTCATGACCTGTTGTTAACAGACAAAATGGTTAAGAGAATTGCTTTGAAGCTCTCTGCCGGAAAAAAGCACACTACTTTAAAACGAGCGTAAAATAGATCTCGAAACTCTCATCAAATTATCTAACCCACTAGACAATAAAGTGAATTTTCAGAGGGAAAGAAACTACCAGAAATACAGAAATATTAAAATTTCCCACCTCTAAGATGGCCGCCATACTTTCTCTCAATAAAGATACTGGACTCTACTAATTGTTAGCCTCGATATGAAGACACCACCTGATATGAGCCCACGGTTTAATTATCCGCCCCATTCCCACTCATTACGACACTCATCTCAAGAAACTTAGTAAGAGTACTCTATTAGAAGAAGGACTGAGGTTAGAAACAGCTAGCCTGCAGAACAGGCGCAATTTTTGGCGTTTTTGAGGCGAACGGAGGCAAGTGCAAGGCAAGCATGAAGTCCAAGTCACTCACAAGGGAGGAGCAAAAAGAAATATATTAAAGGAATTCTGTGTCCTAAGGCAAAGGAGCATAGTCAAATAGTTCTGGAAACTGACAAGATAAATTCATAATGGGGAGAAAATTTAAAAATAGGTTGTGTAGGGTAGTCTGAATCAGCAAGAGGAGGTATCCAATGACATTGGTCAAAATCCACATTTTGTCTGCAATCCACCTGAATATGGCCGTAGAGGTCACTGGGACATAAGCCAGAATAATACTGGACCATGCTGGAATTCCACTTAAATCCCAAATAGGCTGTGTGTATATAAAAGGAGACACTCATGAAACCCAGTTAGACACAATACAAATTGGTTTTATCCAACAATCTGTTTCCTGTCATTCATGTTATTTCCAGGTGCCGTCGACCCTTTGACCCAGAAGAGTGCCTCGCATCTGATGCCTCCTTTCAATGTGGACTGCAATGTTAGCCATGAATGACACATTAAGGTCATGAGAATAAAGTAAATGATCACTCAGTAAAGAAGTTCTTAACCCTTTAACTCCCAAGATCTGGTTGTCAATTTTCCCCTCTAACTGCTACACATTTCCTTGTAAATAAGTTACCAGAATTTGGTGTTAGATCGAGATAACAACTCCTACCTAATAAGTTTGAGTATTCTCATGACCTGTTTGCAAGACAATGTTTAGATATTACAGGGAGAAGTTACATGTTAATCACTCTTGGGAGTTTAAGGGTTAATTGTTAAAAAGATTCTCCTCATCAACACTTTAGGAAAAATATAGAGAATGGTATGTAGAATATGCATGCTAGTGTTGGGGTATAAAAGGGTTAACTGGATTGGTCCATGGGAGCTTAAACCAATTTAAATACTATAAATTTTCTACGATGTGAAAGAGCAATAATAATGGAAAAAATGACACCTGAGCAATACTTAGCTTGGTCATATGACAAGAAACTGTTGGAGGGCTTGTCATTTATGTGTTGTAGGACAAATCCAACCTAATCACAAATGAGATTGGAACTAGTTACTGCACTTTTCATTTAAGTGATGTAGGATCAAACCAAACTGATCACCACTGCAACTAGAACTGGTTATTTTGGAAAAAAAAATTATAGGAAGCCAAATTTGTATAGTTTTGCATCTGTTTGATGGTGAGGATGCCACAAGTTTTCAGAACCAATTTCAGGGTGGAGAAAGCAAAAAAAGAACAACCAGTGCAATCCCACACAAAAGTCAACACTAAATTTAAAAAAATTTCTCTCATTCTACACAGAGATGGTAAGTAACAAACCAAAACACTGCAATAGTCCTTTTATTTTTTATCCTCATTTCATGCAATCATCATAGGAAAGTTAGATACAATGCTGATTTGAAAAGCACAACTACATGGACAAAACTGATAGAAACTCATCAAGCAAATAGCTCACTTGAATTAACACATTCACTTTAAATTTATATTTAGCATGAATGCTTATGTTGATAAGTCATTGATTGTAAATTAAGAGCTAGAAATATCCAAATATAATTACTCAGTAATCCAGATTACCACAAGGGAGAAAACATTTTTTGTAATACAAAACATTAATTCAAAATATAATGCAAACTTCTCAAGCTACCTGTTTGAAAACTTTTGATTAAATTATTTTTGTCAGAGATCCTTACAATGACCTTTTAACCAATTACTAATGTGACCAAAAAACTATCAGTCACCAAAAGTCATGAATAAAGGAACTTTTAAAACAATATTCCCCATCGCTACTGTTATTTGACATGACAAACAAATTTCCACTATTTGGAAAGCAAAATATTGGCAGATGAAATATTTTTCCCACAAAAAGCTTCTCACCATCTCCCATCATTGCACATTGTTAATTGAATAATTGAATTAATCATTAATGTCTCAGTTACTTTATTTAACATTTGCCAAAATTATGACAAAAAGTAAAATTCTGAGCCACTCAAGAATATTTCAGCCTTAGCCTGGGTCTTGTACACAGACCTTCCACAGCCAAGCAGTTAAGGTAGGACCTGGGTACAAGATAACCTTAAACCTTCCCATTCCATGATCTGGTGGACACTTCATAATGATATTTGGAGGAGGGGGGGAGGTTGAGAAAATTTTGTCAAGGAGGAAGGGGGGAGGGGTGGGGGTCAATACTTTGATTAGGAAAAGACAACTTAATTAATTTTCAGGCTAGGGCCTAAATAAGCTGAGAAATATTTCAAGATAACTTAATTTTAAATACTTATATTAACTTGAGTAGTAATATATGATCATGTCATTTTGGTTTCAGACAAGTACCTACTGTAGTTAAAAAAAAACAAAACCCATGTCTGATGGGGTGGGGGGTTTTGTGTTTTGCCCCCCTAGACTGACCCCCCCCCCCCAATCTGCCAAGAGATTGCCACAAACACTTAGCATGATTCATGTTCATGATCATGATTGTTTAAACATTTCTCCCAGTCTTCCCACTTGCCCAAGTTATTAAAAAAAAGAACTTGACTGCACAATGCAAGACTCACAATTAAGTAGTGACCAGAACATTTCCACAAGACTCAACTAGAAATGCAGCACCTCAAACAGTTAAATTTAATAATTGAAAATGTAGTACCTAAAGTTGAAAATTTTGTTCAACCAACAAAAGTCTGTCAAATAATTCATCACACTATTATCAAGAGGGAACAGTAAACTGCATTTCAAACTATCAGCTGATCTAATCCATTTCATTGACTTTAATTTTGTCTAACCAGTTGCAACGTGGATGGTAGGACCTTTGGGATCATCAAATCGGTCCATTGTAGTCAAGCTGAACATGACAAGCACTGCGATAAAGAGAATGATCAGAAGAACACCCGTCGTGATCAGCCCCATAAGAATAGGGATGTTGAAGAACCCTGTACAATCGTAGGCATAGGAAAAGGTACCGTTCTTAACATTAATTGGCTGAACCTGTAGGGAATGAAACAAAATGTTTGGTTGACAGATAGGTTCACATTTACTGGAAAAATACATGGTAACTTGGATTTTTACAAGGTGGCTCTTTGTGCACCACCAAGTGTTGATTTCATTGTATGAGGAAAACTGGAGAGCTCATTCATTTATTAACAACAAAACCAACTCCATTTATATTTCTGTGTTTAATCATCATTTTTCTTCCAGAAGTGATAGTAGACTACCTTCCTTTAGCAGTGCAGAATGAAAAGAAAGCACATCAATTGAAAGCCCATCAACACCTGATTATTTTTTTAAGGCTTCTTTATAGCAATTGTTAACATTAAATTAAAGCAAATCAAGTGGTGACAAAAGTCAAATTCATTTTAACAACGTAAAGGATGTCATCTTAAAAGAACAAATTCTCACAACTAACAGAGAAAAAAAAGGAACATCAGCTGTCTGGAAGTGATTCAGGAATCAAAGAGTTCACAGATGACAGTAAAACCCTGATAATACATGTAAATGCCATGAAAGTAAGGGGGCACCTGGATTGACAATGTTCATAAAAAAATGTTCCTTCATGGATGGTGTTTAAATTCCATTGGGCAAAAAAAGTGGTCATACTGCATTGGGTAGGTGGTAATATTGCACAGTGCATGGCTATCCATAATTGGACTGTTTTTTAAGCTAGAACAAGTCATCAACCTTACCTGAAAGTTTTTGAAGCTGATTGGGGTCTTGTTGTGTTTCATTGTCACATTGACACAACTGTATGAATATTCACTAGGAGCTGTCAATACTCCACTTGAATTGAATGTGAAGGTTCCCTTAATCTCTTGACCACTTAATGTACCATCAATTTTTAAGGTTGCATCAGTGCATTTCCATTCAGATGCATTTGTAGTAAAGGTAAAGCTTAGAACCAAGAAAAACATGAGACAAGTGTTAGAGGTTCAATGTACTACAAATACACTCTGCTGACCATTTCACCACCAGGAATGACTAACAATTACATTCTCCCAACAATTCATTCAACTAAACTGTCAAACAGATAGTGCTTGTAAATAAAAATTGTGTAATACATCAAATAGGAGGTAGTGTTTGAATTCAGAATAAAATTCTCAAGATACTTAACATCAGAAAATAGGAGACAATTATCTTTAAATGTTAAGAATTGATTCCTCTCATCCCCAGGAATGATTTCAAATCTCAAGAACGAGTATTTATGTTCTTCTTACCTCAGATCTAATGTTTTAACTCCTTTAATACCTTTGAAAATGATTGTGATACTGTTAACAGAAAGAAAAACACTTTTTGTCACTATAAAAAATTTACTTAACTGCCCACAAACAAGCAACACAGCAACACAAAAATACCGTAAGTTGCAAATGGCTTACAGACAAACTGAACTATTCAAAGGTAATTTGATATTATCAACTGAGTTAATAGCTGACATTTAGAGTGTTAGCCCTTCATCAGAGCAAAGAGCACTGACCAAGGGCTAACACTTGAAATGTTACCTTTAAAGCTCTTTATAATGGCAAATTTATGCTATTAACTCAGTTGATGATACCAAATTACCTTCTTAAACTCTCCAACCAATGCAGTACCACAGTTTCTTAAGAAACTTACCCCCTTTATTCATTTGAACTATGTGACGACTGCAAAGAGTTTACTTGCATCAAAAAAGACTATACAAAGGGCAAAGGAGCACTGCCACATTTCACAACACTCCACCAGAAAACACTCCACCACCTCTGAACAATCCTCTTAGGACTAGTACATGTAACTGTAACTACACTATCAAATTACACAGTGAAATAACTATATCAT